ACCTTCTCTTCGCCCTTTTTGCCTTCTTCACTTTTGCCATTTCACAAAGTTGTGAAATCCAAAGGTTTGCAACAATTCTGAACAATGCCGCCCCCTGCCGATATTGTCCCCTTGTGGTTCCAATGTGACTATCCAGATTGCAACGCCAAATATCGGCGTAAAGAGCACCTGAATCGACATCGTAATCATCATGATAAGGAAATCAATCTCGCCTGTCCTTATTGTGAGAGCGTCCTGACCAGGAAGTGAGTAGTTTCTTCGACCCCGTGGGAAGACTTTCAACTCAGAGAGTAATCAGTGACCTGTTGCGACGCCATATCCGGACTTACCATCCGCAGAGAGAACCGCCGCCGTCTCGAAAATTTAGAGCATGTAGTGCATGTCATGCACGGAAAGTCCGTTGTGAAGGTGTATTACCATGCAATGCCTGTCAACATCGCGGCGTCTTCTGTGTGCCTAGTGGGGGTGAAACCGTAGGCGAACAACAATTTTCGATCGATGATCTCTGCCCTTTGCCGCCCGTTTCCACGATTAATGATTCCGTTTCTGACACTCCCCGGTGGATTGCTCATGACTATATTGATATTTACTTTAAAACTTTCCATCCAATATGGCCGTTTCTCCATCGAAGTACATTTGACTTCGCCAAGGAACCTTGTGTACTTGTGCAATCCGTTGTCGCAATCGGACTTTGGGTGAAAGGGACTCAGGAGGCACGAGACGCATCAATACGTCTACATAATAGACTATGTTCCGCATTTTACGCTCAAATGGTGAGAAGAAGCATTATAACATTAACTGCATATAGAACTGTGTGTTGATATCATCCTTTTGCTCTAGGGCCAATGGTGCATCTCCAACTCGAGTCCACGCCAACACACAAATTCTTCGTGGCCTATAACATCATTTCAAAGTGTGCTCTTGAATATCATCCTCTCTCTTTTCATTGCAAGAGAGAATGCTAGTACAGATTTGAGCATGCGATGCCGATTACCAGACGACAAATACGACCTCTTGGCCGCGCTTGTTCAAAGCTGTCGACGGTGGGGTATTTTCTACTACCCTAACATGCTTCTGCAACATGATGCCGATGCACCACTCGCGCTTGTATATGTGAGCGTTGAAGAGATCAAGAGATTTGGACTAGCCCTCTATAAGGTGTGCCGATTGTCCACTCCCACTTCCTTTGACTTGAGCGGAGAATGTTCCAATGGTGGCAGAACCGATCTTTTGACCCTGGCCGACTTGTCCTTTTGCATGCCAGACAGTGATGAGCTGTGGAATGCTCCATTGGGCGGTGAGTCCGAGGTGTTAAACAGATCTGATTCATCCGCAGTCGGACGAGATAATGGAGATGCAAAAAACTGGATATCTCAAGCATCTGCTCTTCTACATGACGCACGAGTTGGCTTTGATTGGATATAGCAGAAACTATCATAGAAGATGCGGATACTAGCCACAGATCAAAATGCAGGCTATAAAGGCAACAATCGAACATATTCCCTTACTATTTTCTTTCATGCTAGAGTGGCAAGTCTTGACAAATGTAAAGAAACAGTGAGTGTTACATTGGTTACCCGGTCTTTTACCGGAAACTCATGTTTCTATAGTACTACATATATAGTTAAATTTTCAATCCAGAACCAGTCATTTTAGAGACTTTTATACCATTGAGTTTGACAAATACCTTTGTAATATGTTTCTGTGAATAAACATAGCCACATTGGACCCGCATCTTCGCCACCCCGAGGTCCACAGCCACCGGTTAGGAAGTCGTGTATTATGGCAGTCACCCTTAGATCCATGCCCAGGTGGGATGGCCGTGAAGTGATCGCCCCAGCCTGTCCAGGTGGGATGGCCGACCCGTCCATGATTATTTGTCCTCCGCAAAACCTACGGGGTTTCTAAGCAAAGCGTACCTGTACAACGTAGCTCCATATAAACACATATAAACCAACTCTTCTTTTTAATATCGAAAGTTTCTACTGCAACGCAATCCAATCTTCCATTTTCCAAGAACCTTTTTACTCTACAATGTCTTCTACCGCTCAATCCTTCCGTGAGATCGTCGGGATTCCCCGCTCCTCGGCTTCCCCGCAGGACTCAACCCTCATCATTATCGACGCCCAGAACGAATACGCCACAGGCGCTCTCAAGACCGAAAACGTTACAGAAACCCGCAAATCCATTGCCAAACTACTGGAACGTTACCGTCAAGCCGGTAACGGCAAAAACATCGTTCACGTCATCCATGAGGTGCCCGAAGGCGCACCCGTCTTCACGCCAAACACCCCCTTGGCGCAAGAGTTTGAGGAACTCACCCCTAAAGGGGGCGAGAAAGTGGTCACCAAGAACTTTCCTAGCTCGTTCGCAAAGACCGATCTGCATACCTATCTGCAAGGTCTAGGCGATGTAGGAAAGAAAGTCGTGTTGGTTGGCTATATGGCGCATGTCTGCGTCTCCACCACTACCCGAGCGGCTGCTGAGCTTGGATATGATGTGCTAGTCGTGAGGGGTGCAGTTGGTGACAGGGATATCCCTGGTGTCAAGGCCGAGAACCTGGTGTCTGTTGTGTTGAGTGAGCTGGCGGATGGTTTCGGGACTGTCGTCTCCGAGGAAGATATTCGTGCATAGGCAACTGATGCAATATGAAACCGCAAGGACTGCTGAATCATATTTACCTCGAAGACTCACGGTATGAAGGACCGTTCAGCAAGTACACAGCATTGCTCTTATTGGCGCCACTTGGACGCCAAACGATGCGGTTAGGCATGGCTTGGAAACAGACGAACGCTGTTCAACGGTATCTATATCTACATGGAGTAAATGAGATCATAACGCATGAAAATTACAATATGACGATCTTGTAGAACTGCGTAACTATGAAGGAGACAAAAGGTCAGCTGTAAGAGTCTGATACTATGGCTGCAGTTATGTGGCCACTGGGAGATATCAACAAAAGGCTAATGAGTGTCATATAACTATGAATATTCGAGTAGTAAGTGGGCATCTAAGCGTGTCACTTATACTTACAAGCGGCAGAGGGGAATGAAATTTCGCTACGCCCGGGTTTGTTCTAAATTGGAGTTTACGAATCATGTCAAAGCGTAAAATCTATCTTCAAGCTACCACACATTATGTAGAGACTATGCAAACTTGACAAATTCAAAACAAAGTGGCGCGATTCTCTCTCTTTCTAGGAACTCTGCAGCATTCTAATACAACATAGCTCTGAGTGATAAAGAAAGGCCTGCCAAGCAAGAACCGATGAAATCTGAAAACGACTGACATGAGTCGCGTGAGACTCAAAGATCTAAATCCACCAAATCCCAGCAAATCAACGATAGACCCAAAATTCGCTTATTCCTTTAGGAACTGAAAGCGCGAGCGTGCGCAACGAGTGAAGGCGCAATCGCAGTTGAATCGTGCTTGAATTCGATCATCTCATAGAGTTGAAGGTTGTATGCCAACTTCACCGAGTGATCAGCTGGGGCCAAGGAATGGCTCGCAAAATTGAAAAATTGGTACATCTATGATGTTGGTGAGATGGCAAGAAAACCTCCGCGCTGCGTCCGTGAGACCAATACTCACCTACAATCTCCCGGCCATTCACCACAACACTCACATCAACACTCACATTGCGGCGAAGGGACTATCGGACCGCAAAACTATCAAGGCAGAAGAATTGGGAATACGTCCTTTGATAACGAAGACACTTCAGTTGATATTTTATGATTTTGGCCATTGAATTTGCGAAGATCTATCTAGGGCTCGTTCTATCTATCCAATGATGATCCTTCGGAATACGAACAGATGATGAAGATGTTGCGCAGGTCTTGGCTTCTTCGAGTGCCCCTTGAATTACTCGAATACTAGGGCCCAACTAGCCTTCACTACCACGCGCAGCCGGGCGCCGACCGACGGAAACTCCCACATGTGACACCGTGAATGGTTGCTGCACGGATTGATACAGTACACCATTTGTCAACAAGTGATTTACGGCGATGTCTAGCCTGAGCTTAGGCTTGCTCACGGGAGAGGGGTTTGAGTGAGGTGGAGGGAGGCCAACGAAGGAGAGCAAGGAGAGAAGCGAGGCGATTGGTCGACGTAGACAGGACACAGTTCGTTCGGATTAAGGGTACGCCGGTGTACGTTTTTAGGTGGGAGGTGAGCGTGTCAAAAGGATTTTATAGTGGTGGAACGTATTAGAATATGGGAAGGACCGCCCAACTGTTAATACTGTATGGTGTGCTCAACGACTACGTGTTCAGACTCGCTTTGTTGAAACCTCATTTAGATCACTGATTGTAGAACCCCTCGGTGAAGTCAGAAATTGGCGGGTGGGATCCCTACGGGTGTCTGGTGTTACGACGTGGGCCGCATGCACCATGGTCGACCTAAAAAGAAAAAAAAAAAAAGGGCAAGTCACTGTCTTAAACTAGTTTGGAATCCTACATTAAGCAGAGTTCACCCAGGGCATTGAGAGACCCAATGTAAAGTCTAGAATGCAATACAGCTAGTGAGTAGAAAGACTCCACCGGTGTGTTGTGTAGGTGGCAAGTTTGGAGAATAGGGCCCAGGCATTCAGATCCTGTGCTGTTAGATGAAATGGTGGGCCACTTTCTCACATTTCGCCTGCTTCCAAAGCTCGGGCCCCTCTCTTTCTGTTGATCTTATGCCCTGATATCCTTGGCATGGAAAATTTGTGGGACTCGTGGTCGGCTTACTTGCCTTTACCGGACAGGTGCTGCACCTAGTAAGTGACAACACCAGGGGGCCCTTTACAGTTTCTTAAGAAGGCAAGCATGGATGATCTGCAAGCATGCATGTCGGCTATGAAGCAATCACGGGCGAATCGACTCCAGCCACATTACGCGTCGGAAACGGATATCGTTACCTAAGCTATGCAGTACTATTGGTACAAGAGTGATGAAAGACTTCCACCTCGATTGGGGCCCAGTATATTTCTCCCCATTTCAGCCAAGAAGAAAATTTGAACAATGGACCCAGCATCAGCTGCCGGTCTCGCAGTTGGGGTGACTTCATTAGTGTTTGACGTGTTCGATAATTCTGTCAAGCGTCAGTTTGTCTTTTCCATTCAGCGGACGAGTCGTCAAGAATCTAATGAATCCTTAGTTTTCAAGTTTCTCTCTTCTATGGTGGACATGCCAAAGGAATGTGAGAAATGCCGACTGCAATTAATGATCGAGTACAACCGTCTCCTTGCTTGGGGTGAGGCGGTTGGCTTAATTGATGTTCCCGAAGGATCACATGTGGCAGTGGCCCTTGGAACGAATGCCATTGAGCTCTGTAGCATTGTATCTCGAATTGGGTGGCTTCTCGGAGAGTTCAAAGCTATCAATGCCCGTTGGAAGAATGAGCTCAACCCATACCAAGGGAATGATCAAGCAACATTGGAGGAGTGTATGAAAATGAATGTTGTGCAAGAGGTTTCAAGCTTGGCGGTAGCCTATGAGCGGACCAAGGAAGAACGCAGGCACTTACGAGGGACCGACCACATTATCAAATGGATGTTGAAAAGAGCCGGAAATGCTAAAGAGATTGTAACTCACCCTTTTCGCGTTCGATGGGTTGCAGTGGATAAAGAAGCTTTTGAGGCATTGCTTAAGGATATCCACATCTTGACTGATCGTATCCACGAGTTGATGGGAGACTACCGCCAGAAACGGGTCCATGCTGCTACTGCGAAAACCTATCGAGAGATGATTCTCGTTCGTGACGACGTCAAGGAGCTTAAAGACATGCTTGAAGCAATCACCAGTTTGATCAAGATTTCCAAGGTCTCCGGCGACACAAACATCACCATTTCCAACGAGAATGACGAGACACTTCGAGATCTTTTGCGGTTGAAGACAATCAAGCATATATCAAATGAAATCATCTTGAAGGTCGAAAATGGTGCAAATTTTGACTTTGAGAAGGAGCTAAAGGGCCTTCTCAGTGTTAAGCGGTTCGATACAATCGCGTTGAGCCATCATTTTGCTTGTACAGAGGCCGAGGGCCTGAAACTGCACCGGCCTAGGGGGACTCTACATCTAGATGGTACGAAGTTCGAGGTTTGGTTGGAATGGAAATCAATAGAGAACATTGCTAGAGGCTCTGTTCAGGACAAAGATTCCAGGTTGCGAACCGCAGTTCTTGCACAGATGCTTCACAGCAACAAGCCCCGACACCTTTATTCGCCAAATTGCATTGGATATGTGGACGATCGTGATAAGCACAACCGATACGGATGGATATTCATGATGCCTGAGGGGTCGGCCAAAGGCACCGCGTTGAAGACTCTTCACAGTATCCTGGGCCATGACTACCTTAAGCCAACTCTCGCGCAACGGATTTCTCTCGCTTGGAAGCTGGCATCCTCTCTCCAGTATCTGCACCTGGCGGATTGGCTTCATAAAGGAATCCATAGTGGCAATATCATTTTTCCGTTTGACGAGGAGACTTTTGATGTCGAGAAACCAATCCTGTCGGGATTTGAGTATTCGAGACCAGAGAGCAATAAAACGACTTCTCGCAGTCTTGACCCTAAATGGGACATATATCGATGGCCAGGCATTCAGAATGAGGCGCCGAAAACGACAAATTCTCGGAAGACGTATGATACTTATAGTTTTGGCTTGATTCTTCTCGAGATCGCGCATTGGCAACCGTTGCACAAGATAATGTGTCTTAAAAGATGGCCAGAGCCGTCTTCTCAAGACGCAAGAATCCGCGCCTGGCTTTTGGGAGAGGAGCGCTTTCCACCCTTCAAAGGTACAAATCCCTTGCTTGAATTGCGCAATATTGCCGGCGACAAGTACTGGAAAGCGGCCACCCGTTGTCTTATAGCACATGGCGAAATGGGGCTACAAACTCAAGAGTCTGATCAGACACATTGCGGTGAGGTCGGAGTTCGACTACAGGAAGCATTCGACAAGTTCGTAGTTGAGGAGTTGAAGGGTGTCTCCATCTGAGTTCCAAAGAACTTATAACTTCGCTTGCATCCGGAAAGACGTGCTATTTGCTTGGACTAACATAATATACTTGTCAATGATTCCATATTCTTAGATCAGACCGTTGAGGCAACTACACCAAAGAACAACGATAGAATTTAAACTGTATCATCAGAAAATTTCTGGAACACGTCGAATAATCACTGAATTAGAGCTTCACATGCTAAACTAATTCTTTTATATGTCTTTCCAATAGGTCTAATACATTAGAGTGATCCCGCCTAGCTGCAAAGTGGAACGCAGTATCTCCATCGAGGTCTTCTGTGTCGACATCGGCATTTCCCTCTAGTAGCACTCTGATAATGCTTTCGCATCCTTGACCTGCTGCGCCATGAAGTGCTGTTTGTTCGTTTTCGTCTTTTGCGTTTACATTGGCGCCGTTTTTCAGTAATAGTTTGATCACATCCTCATGTCCATTCCGAGCTGCACAATGAAGTGCTGTTTGTCCGACAGGGTTCGGAACGTCAACATTGGTACCGTCATCTAACAGTGCCTGCACAATAGCGGTAGATCCACGTGCGGCAGCATGGTGAATTGCGCTGATAGTGTTGGGGTCCGCCCCGGCTTTTAACAGGCGTTCCACGTCGTCCTTTGAGCCCCTTGTGCATGCCTCAACTAACTTATTGTCTTCAGTCATGGCTGCGACACTTTCACAATTGCAAGCCATGCATTCACCAGATACTGAGAACGACGACCAAATCGAATCTAGCTCTTCAGCTACGGGGCGTTGAGACCGATCGGGGTGTAACATTCTCTGACAGGAAGAAAGAATGGTGGCTTGCCAGTCGACCGGATGAAGATTTTCATGTATCCATTCATGAATCTCGAGAATATTTTTGGCATAAGATGAAGTTTGTGAAGATGACGTCTTCAAGACCTCACTAAGCTCTGTGTACCCATCAGGATAGGTATGAGCAACAAGCATCTCGAGGAAGACAGCACCCAAGGAAAAAATATCTGCCGACCGGCCACGTGTCCTACCCTCATCCACTTCAGGAGCGCAGTATTCCCGTGTCCTCTGGGAATTACGTTGCAAGTTTGTGGTTGGCATTGTCTTCCCAAGGCCCATTTGTGATATACCAAAGTCTGCCAAGAGCACTTGTTGGTCTTTTATCAAAATATTGCTGGGTTTGATGTCACGGTGTCGAATACCCAAAGTATGGATGTGATGTATTACCCCGATCAAACATCCGAACCACCGTTTACTGGGGGTCTTCCCAGGCTTGAGATATTCGTGTAGATTCCCATCTGCACGATCCATAATGACCGCAAATTTTATTTCTTCCTCATTTCCTTTCTCGAAGTAAGTGTGGATGAGTCGGATGACATGGTGGTGACGAGCGTAGTGGAGTATTTTTGCTTCTTGTATAAGTTTGCGCTTTTTAACGTCTTGTGA